ACCTCTAGTCTTGCTAACATCTCAAGTACCTCTACGCTTATCACAGCTATCCTAGCCTTCCACAGTTAACTCCTTCGAGTAGAGTCGGCCCCTGACCATTTTTACTCAGAGCCCCGACACTGTTGCATCGGCCCTCGACCATTTTTACCCGAGGCCCCGATGACTTCACCATCTATTGGCCCTTCACCATTTTTACCCAAGGCCCCAATAGCCTTCCTTCCAAAGGACTCCTCGTATCGACCCTCGACCATTTTTACCCGAGGCCTCGATACTCAATTAGTGACGTATCAGCCCCAGACCATTTATACCCGAGGCCCTGACACTCACTCATTCATTTCCTCCAAGAATCCAACTCTCACCAGAGACTTACTATATACTTTCTTAAGCCATTACCCCTGAATCCTTCAACTCACAAATACAATTCAGCATGCTTCCACAACATAAACAACATTCTAATAATGAAATAATGAACCAACCATGCTCTCACAATATAACTTTTCTTAACAACGGCTCCATAATGAGTTTCGTCGCAACAAAGCATAACCAAACAAATTTTAAACCATTGGAGTCCGACACAGTTCACCCAAAATACTTAATATCCAGCATCAATATTCAATAAGCATTACTAAGTATAATAACACACAAGACACGCCGAACAACTCATGCATATTCAGATAACAAACATTTCCACAGCAATACTCGGCAGTTTAGCAAGCAGAAACCTCACCATTTTCACCGACGAATATCCAACACTACTCCAAGTATACCGATTAACACAACGAGAGTTATTTAGCACAAGGACGTAACAAAATTAATATTAAATGCCACAAAACCAGCACATTAGAGACCATTTAACATACATTAACGCACGCACACGCCCCTTGTCTACTTACTCACAACCGCGCCCTTAAGTTTTGCGTCGATCTCACACCTAAGCACTAAAACAGAAAAATACAGCAAGTTATGTATACTATTTAGCCTTCGAAATCAATTCTAAAATGGTTCAAATGACTCATTATCACCAAAACCGACTTCGTATAGGTGTGGGTCACCTAGATCTAGCTCGC